GATGAGTCTAAAACTGATACTGATGTTCTCCCATGTAAACTATCAGTCAATTCATATTAAAACTTTTAAAAAAATTCTAAATACAAAAAGATATATAAAAAAACAAAACAAAACAAAGCAAAAAAAAAAAAAAAAACCCAATAGAATTGCTCAAGCAGGGAAACTGGACAGCATCGAGGAAATAATGAAGAAAAATGCAAAACATGCACTTGCAAAAGCAACCATGGCAAGGAAAAAAACACTAACTAGCTAATGCTAGAGTCCTGGTGTGGTGCTGTAGGGTAAGCACTGGATGGCAAGGTCAGTTTGAACCAAAAAGATTGGTGGTCCAAATCTACTAGTTGCTCCTTGGAAACACTATATGGGGTCGCGTGAGTAGGAACCAATTGGATGGCACTTAAGAACAGTGACTATGTAACTGCTGCTCCTAGATGGAGGTGGTGGAGGGGGGTTGTCACACTAATCAGTGAGCCACTGGCTTATCTAACTGTCATCTCAAATGACTTTACTGAGGCTTAGTGACAGGCATGGAGTCCTGATGTGGCACTATAGGATAAAGCAAAGGACTGCAAGGTCAGCAATTCAAACTCACCAGTGGCTGCTTGGAAATGCTATACAAGGTTGCTATGAGTCGAAAATGACTCAGTGACACTTCATAACAACAACAAAGTGACAGATACACAACATCAAGATAGCATCTATTGTATTACAACATGATTCAGCGATGCTGTTGTGTTAGGTGCTGTCAAGTGGGTTAGACTCATAGCTACTCCTATGTACAAGAGACTGAGACACTGCCCGGTCCTGTGCATCTTCACCATCATTGCTGTGTTTGAGCCCATTGTTGCAGTCATGGTGTCGGTCCAGCTTGTTGAGACTCTTCCTCCTTTTTGCTGACTCTGTACTTTACCAAGCATGATATCCTTCTCCAGGGACTCTTCTCTCCAGATAACATGTCCATAGTACATGAGATGAAGCCATCCTCATTTCCTTGGAGCTTTCTGGCTGTACTCCTTCCATGACAGATTTATTCATTCTTTCAGCAGTCAATAATATATTCAGTATTTTTTACTAACACCGTAATTCAAATGCATCAGTTCTTCCTTGGTCTTTCTTATTAACTGTACAGCTTCACATGCATGTTAGGTGATTGAAATATCATGGTTTGAGTCATGTCCATTGTGATAGTTAAGGTTTTATGTCAACTTGTCTGGGTCAGGATGCTCAGGGATTTGGTAGTTGAAATGTAGTTACCCCCATGATGAGATCTAATATAATGTAACCACCTCTATGATGAGCTCTGCTATGAGCAGCCAATCAATTGAAAAGAAGTTTCCTTGGGGGGCGTGGCCTACTTCCCATATATTGGACGCTCAAGCAAAGCTGCTTTCTGCTGGGTCTTGATCCTGTATCTGGCTTGTCATCTGGACTTGTCACCTGCTCTATTAACTGCCGATCGTGGGAGTCATTAGCAGCCTGCCATCTTGCTTGCTTGACCTGCCTGCCTACTACCTAAACTGGTCATCTTTTTTTTGTTGTCAAGTGCTGTCCAGTTAATTCTGATTTACAGCAATCCTGTATACGGTTTCCAAGGAAAGCTGGTGAATCTCAACTGCTGATCTTGTGGTCAGCAGTCCAGTGCTCATCCTACAAGGCCACACAAGGACTCCAAACTTTTCTTCATATAGAAATCTATATATAAAACCATCTTCACTGGTTTTACTTCTCTAGAAAACCCAGCCTAAAATACACACTTGACTCTTCAAAGCGATATTGTAGCTTTTTTTTTTTTAAATGTTTTATTGTGAATTATGGGATAGTTTACATGGGAGAACATTAGCTTTACATTCATCCTATTGTATATCATTTCATTGCCATGGTTACAATACCCTCCATGCATCATCAACCAACCAAAGGGTATATCCCGCAACCAGCCGCTCTCTCTCTCTGGGTCTAAAGTCCCCAGCCGCTCCATCTCTCTCCACGTCATCGTCTCTGCCTACATCTCTGGCATCACTGTTTCTCTGGGTAGGGTCCTACACTCTGCTCTTCTCCCTTGATGGTCCCAGGGACCTCCGCTCCTGGACTGCAAAGTCAACCACGCCCCTCCTTTTGCTAAAAAATGTCTACCTTTACATTTCCAACCCTCAAAGTCAGTCCTGATATCAATTATTCACTATTGTACCACAAGAGTCCTATCCCCATCTCCTTTCATTAGCCCTGCCCAGACAGACTAGATACTACTCAGTGGAATTCTACCTTCCTCTGCGCCCTCTGGATCTAGGCTCCCTCTTGAAAGCTTGTAAGCCAGCCACTTCTTGTCTTCTACTCAGTGGAATTCTACCTTCTTCTGCGCCTTCTGGATCTAGGCTCCCTCTTGAAAGCTTGTAAGCCAGTCACTTCTTGCCTTTGTAACACACCCATTTTGGGTAGCCAATGTCCAAGTTGCCCGTCCCTGTCTGCTCTGTGTATTGAAGGGGTGGGAATGATCCTCACTGTAGAGATTTGTTACCTCTTTTGAGCTACTGCATCCATAGGTGTAGGTCAAGTTCATCAAATTGTATCAGATTACTCTTTTTTTCCTCTTCTTTCACATCTTAGCTTTTTAATACTTTAAAAAGGGCTTCTGTAGCAGATTTGACCAATGCAATATGTCATTTGATTTCTTGACTTCTGCTTCTGTAGTCATTGATTGTAGATCCAAATAAAATCCTTGATAACGTTAGTCTTTTCTCAATTTATCAGGAAACTGTCTATTGGTCCAGTGGTGAAGATTCTTGTTTTCTTTATGTTGAGGTGTAATCTATACCGAAAGCAGTAGTCTTTGATTTTCACTAATAAGTATTTTAAGTCCTCTTCACTTTCAGCAAGCAAGGTTGTATCATTCGTGTATTGCAAGGTGTTAGTGAGTCTTCCTCCAATCCTGATACCACATTCCTCTTCATACAGTCCAGCTTCCTGGATTATTTGCTCAGCACACAGACTAAGTATGGTCAAGGGAGGGAATGCTGGGGCACGCATATTCTGATTTTAAACCATGCAGTACTCCTTTGTTCTGTTCAAACAACTGTCCTTGATCTATATACAGCTTCTCCATGAGCACAATGTGTTCTGGAATTCCCATGCTTTGTAATGTTACCAATAATTTGTTATGATCCACACATTCAAATGCTTTTGCCTAGTCAATAAAACACAGGTAAACATCTTCCTGTTATTCTCTGCTTTCAGCCAAGATACTTCTGACATCAGTAGTGACAGCCTTCATTCTGCATCCTCTTCTGAATCCAGCTTGAATTTCTGGCAGTTCCCAGTCAATATAGTGTGACACCATTTTTGAATCATTTTCTGTAAAAGGTTAGTTATATAATAATGATATTGTTTGGTAACTTCCACATTCTGTCACATCATCTTTCTTGGGAATGGACATGTATAGGGGTCTCTTCAGGCAGTGTGTCAGACAGCTGTCTTCCCAACCACTTTAGAAAGCAGGATATGATCAAGAATCAATAGTATTAAAATCAGAAGTCCAGGCTACATTAAAGACACTGGCAAAAAAATCAAGGCTCTATGAATTGACAGAATACCAAATGAGATGTTTCAACAAATGGGTATAATGCTAAAAGTGCTATGTTTTGTCAATGCCAAGAAATCTGGAAGACAGACACCTAGGTAAATGACTGAACGAGCCTTATCTAGTTAATAATAGCTCTTGAGAATAGCTCGGTTATCTAGAAAAGTGCATTATGGCTCCTGAGGTTTAAAGATCTAATACTCACTGCATTAACATTGCTGTTGCTAAGTGCTGTTGAGTGGGTTCCAATTCATAGTGACCCTGTATAGTGTTTCCAAGGAGCAGTTGTTGAGTTTGAACCACCAACCTTTCAGTTCAAACCAACCTTAAGGTCGAGTGCTTACCCTATGGCACCATTATAATAGTTCTAAAACCTAGTTTTTCCTTAAGGTTTTACCATTATACTTGTAAACCCAGCAAATGTTCACACTTACTTTGGAAGAAGTCTTTGATGTTTATTCTCATCACGAAATGCGACCTTAACAATTTTAGGTACATGAATGCATTTAACACACAATATTTTGTTACTTAGAGTTCCTGGGTATCAGAATGTTACTGAGTTCAGTTGCTAATCAAAAGGTTGTTTGTTAGTCTGAGTTCACTCAGAGGCTTCTCCAAAAAAGGCCTGACAATCTACTTCCAAAATGATCGGTCTTTGAAAATCAGAGTCTAGCACAGTTCTACTCTGATGTACATGAGTTGGGGCTGACTCAATGGCAACTGATTTTATTTCATTCTTTCTGAGTATACTTTAAGTGTCTCTAATGAGCAGAACTTGGAGTCCTGATGTGACGCTGTGGGTTAATGTGCCAGACTGCAAAGCCGTTTGAACTGCAAGGTCAGCGGTTCAAGCTCACCAGAAACCCTGGGTCGCTATGGGTCAGAACCGACTTGACGGCACTTAACAACTAACAACAACAATGAGCAGAACTTAGCCAAATATGTAAAGTAAGTCTAATATACATAATTGTTGTTGTTCTTAAGTGTTGCCAAATCAATTCTGACTCATAGTGACCCTGTACAGGGTTCCAAAGAGCAGCTGGTGACTTTGAACCACCAAACCTTTGGTTTTCCTATAGTACCACACCAGAAGTCCAATAGAAATAATAGCTACATTTAAAATAAAGACTAAACTGAACATCAAACCCAGCCTTGGGTTCTGCAGAAGTCCCACCTTCACCAGTGAAGTACACATTGACCAGTATAGGACTCAGCCCATGGACTCTACACTGGTTACTCCCCAGAAGGGTTAGAAGTTGAGGGCACACCTGTCCCTTTTCTGGTACTGGGCACACAGATAGATCAGTGTGTGATGTCATCCCTGCCCACCTGCCTTTGGAGAGCCGGGCACTGGACCTATGCATGAGGTGTGTGCCTGCTGGATGCTTGGAGGACAGCCATAGCAGATGGAAGAGGTGGGACCACTCACGGTTGTATAGGGTGATGATGTGCAGGCAGTTCAGTAGTTGGCGCTTATACTCATGGATCCTTTTCACGTGGACATCAAACATGGAGGAAGGGTTGATTTTCACCTTGTACTCCTTCTCTAGGAAGGCAGAAAACTTCAGCTTGTTTTCCTGGGGAGAGGCAAGAGAAATTTCAGGCTAGGTAGCTAGGAGGGACTGTTCCATGATGTTAATCAAAACACAGATTTCCAAGGCCAACAAAGCTCTGCTTTCTGAGAGAAACCATAATCTGAGATAGTGGATCCAGGAAGGCAGCTAGCTGCTATAGGGAAGGCAGGAAGGGGAGGATCGTGATGTGAAGACCAGCACTGTAAACAGATATACACAAGACAGTGCTGACAACTGACCTGTGCCAGGAGCTGCAGGACTGGATCAGAACTGAAGACCTCAGGACAAGAAAGTGAAGTGAAGAGGCCAGTGGGCAGCCAAAGAAAGGCAAAGGGAACCAGACACAGGGAGATTGTAGGACACTTTCTGGGCTCCTCACTGTGTGGGCACGGGGCAGGGAGACACATAACTGGCAATGCAGAGGACCAGAGGCCTTGATGAATCCCGACGGCCATCTGCACAGCAAAAGCAGGTGGAGGGGCACAGAAGGGGTAGGCTTGGGATAGGGAAGGGGACTTGGAGACACTGGTAATTAGCACCACCCAGGCCAACCCCTCCTACAGAAGGCTGTAGGAACCAAGGGAAGCCAAGGAACACAGTCTGGCACCTAAGAGCTGAAGTAGAAATCTTGGCAAGAAGCTGAGTAGGGTATGGACCCAGGACTCTGAGGATTTTGAAAACTGATACATCCACCCATTAAATGCTAGGGTGGGCTTGCAAGGGTGCCCCAGAATGCACCTTGGTAGGACATGACCCTAAATGTTAGGCCCACCTGTTTGACTTTGGCCACATCCCTGATGAAAGTTTCGTCATTGACCAAGGGCAGCAGCTGCTTCAGTTGACTCAGATCAGTCAGGAAACCCTCCCCAATTTTCTAGAAGAGTAAAGGAGACATATGTTTCTACCCAGAAGCAGAGCCGTCAGCTCCCTGTCTTGTCACCCTCTCTTCTGTTCCTCCTTGCCAGGCTCACCCCTTTTGGCCAGCCCACAGGACTGCCCTCCTGTTGTGACACTCTATCTCCCCAGGAAATACAGTTTATGCCAGGACTCTAGGACCATTAAGCATCCTCTCCCTGGCTACCCTCTCGGTGTCCTCTTGACACTTCCATCAGGAAGTTTTTCTTTCCACCAAACATAAGAGTCTATATACCCCACTTAAAAGTTTACCAATCTCACCAGAGTCTTCCATCTGTTACATGAAACCATCACCTTGACACAGCAAGCCACACACCTGGGACATGTGACTCCAAGGCCCCTTCCCTGTCTCATGCTGTGCCTCACCACCTGCCTGCACCTACCTCAAAATGGAAAGCTCATTGAGTGCCTCTTGTTTACGGCCTCCTGTTGCTAACTTACAGGAAAAAGAAAATTCCTAAATTAGCCCCTATATACTCCAGTTGTCTTGCCAGCTTCTCCTCAAACTTTGCTCCACCTTGTCCCTGGCATTGAAGTCACGCCTGCCTTTCCACTCCCTGGATGCACCATCTCCTGCTGGCCACAGGGCCTTAGACCAGAGATTCTCACTCAACTGGAGCACCACTCTTAGTACCTCCCTCCACACCCCACCCAGGTCCCAGCTTCACTATTCTGCTCTCAGGGAGACACACACGTACACACCATGCACTCACATACATGTACAGACTTCCACTTGTACACACACATACACACACTAACTTCCATGCATACCTTCCCATGTGCACACAGATGCAAAGAAGTATACTTGCACTAGAGTGTACGCATATAGCCCCAGGCCAAGGAGTCTCCCTTGACAAGCTCTCAGGCACCATGATCTTCTTAGGATATCTCCACCTGCATCTTGCACTGGTCTGTGAGCATCTAAGAACTTGACATTACCCTCACAGCCACTGGTTACCCAAAGTCTAGGTACTTCTTCCTTGACCGAAGCCATCTGTGAAGAGCAAAAGAGCCTCTGCCTTACAGACCTCCAGCGCACACAGTTGGCCACTTTCATCCATAGGTGGAGCTGCTCTGCAGTTACCTCACAGCACTGTCTGGAAACCAGAAGCAATTTCTTGATGCCTTCCCCTGGGCCTGCTGACCAGCCCTACTTCCTGTGTCCAGGCAATATCCAGCAGCACCAGCAAAGGGCTGACAATGCCTACTTAGAGGACAACTCAACTGCCTAATTCTGCTTCTGGTATCCTCATAACACACATTTCCAGACCCAGTTTCCCCACAGGGAGAGAGGTGGGCTCTGGCACTACCTCTGCAATGATGTCAGCCAGACCAGGATTGCACAGCAGGAGCCATCGGCGGGGAGTGATGCCATTGGTTTTATTCTGGAACTTTTCTGGCTCCAGTTCATAAAAGTCTTTGAAGCTAAAAACACAGAAGACAGGTTTATAGTCACAAATGCTTTGTTCTCAAGTTGATGAGCAATAGACAGAGTGACCTTTTAAATGAAATGCTCTGGAGACCATGGGGCTGACTTTCTAAAAATTTCAGAGTAGTGCAGATCACCGCACATGTCCAGATGGGTCCACGATACCTAGCTGTCAGAATGTTGGCTACCTAGCTGTTGTCTGTGCTGGCTGTCCCTCAGAGTACTAAGGCCAGTTCTTTATAAACCACATCCTCGTGGTCTCCATGGACACACCCTCCAGTCAGGACCATGGAGGATGTGCACGTGCAAGCTTTAGAGCTCAATATAAACCCAGGCTCAGTCCTTTCATCTGTAGAACGGAATACCCAATTCAGACGTCTGTTGTGGGAATGACTCAATATACCACGGAAAGCCCCTGGTCAGCACGAGAAACACAGGGGTCCACCAGTTGCCTTCATCAGAGTTCCCTCTACCAACACCAAGGGATGAAGCCCAGCCAATGTTCCTCATCCTTCCAAAAGCAGGGTCCATACACATGAGCTCCAAGACCCTGCCTGGGAAGACTGGTGATACAGAGAACACAGATGAGCCATCTCCCCTAGGGTCACACTAGTCACTTGACCCTTTGCATGTGGCAGATGAGCACAGACAGTGTGACTCCACAGTCATAACTTGGGACGGAGGTAGTGTGTGGGGCATGGACACTCACACAGACTGCTTCACGATCTCTGAGTGGATCTTGGCCACGCCATTGACTGTGTGGGAGCCAATCACACACAGGTGCGCCATATTGATCCGTTTGCAGTCCCCCTCCTCTATCACTGACATCCTCCGCAGGTGATCCACATCGCCCGGGAACAGGGCTGCCACATGCTGTGTGAGACACGAGGGCAGAGCATTCTCAACAACCAGAGCTCCTAGGGGCACCTGCCACAGCCTGAGAGGTTCTGCTTCCTCCAGAAAGCCCAGTGGCCACAGTACCTACACTTCAGCCAGCCACTCAGCACTGTCACCCAGATACCAGGAAATACCTCAGCAGGGAGGCCCAGGCTCATGGCCCAGGTCTCTCACAGTGCTGCTCTGTTGGGAACAGATGAGAGGACCAATCAGGTGAAAAGACACGCCATTTGACTCATGCGAAAAAACCAGACCACTGCCCAGACAGTTATTTCTGTTATAAAGGTAAACAGATTATAAAGGGAACAGTTACTTTTTCAAATATGGGTTAAAAAGTAAATTATGATGAGATCTAAATTTTCAGTCACCCTTGCTTTTGTATTACTGAGGAGCACAGAGAAAGAACAGAGTGCTTTATTTTGCAAGCACCCTATGCCGTTATGATGGCCATAGGACAAAAGTCTTCTGAGCCTCCAAAGAGAACACTTATATCGAACCCAGGTGCTCAGGGATGAAGATATTGTAAAAATGGCTGAATCTACAAACCCCTATAAACAAGACCTCTGCAAAGAGACCAGCCCACACTGCTGCTGAGTGACAGCTCCACTGTCCCCATAATTTAGAGGACATAAGCTACTCCTCTCATAGATCAAGTACGTCACCATGCATGAAGATGAGGGCTGCGGCCTTCATGCAGTCCACATCCCCCAAGGGGCAGATGCTCACATCCAAGTGCCTCTGGTTGATGGTGTAGATGATGTCCAGGTGCCGCGGCAGCAGTTTCTCAAACATGGACACGGGCCAACGTTCCAAGGCCTCAGGCAACACTGTATGGTTGGTGTACGCACATGTTTTCTTCGTAATTTCCCAGGCCTGGAATAATAATAATAATAATAATAATAATAATAATAATAATAATAAAAGACAACCCAAAGGAATCCTGGTGATGCAATGGTTAAGCTCTAGGCTGCTAACCCAAAAGTTGGTGGTTTGAAACCACTCCACAGGAGAAAGCTCTGACAATCTGTTTCCATAAAGGTTGTATCAAGAAAACCCTATAGGCAGTTAGTTCTCCTGTTACATAGGGTCTCTATGAGTTGTAACTGACTCAATTACAACACAATCACAAAGTGGATTTAAAATGAAAAATCTAATCAAGCAAAAAATGAGACAATCTCACTATACTAAAAGATCTGAGACCCAAAGAGCTGAGTCAAGAGAACTTATATATGAAAATACAGAAAATATACACTTCTTTAAAATTTAATACTGTCTACTTTTTATCATGAATCCTAAAATAAAACACATACATAAGTCTTAAGAAGTACCATAACCCTTTCCTTGCCTTCAATCACTCTCTTGTCTCCTGATCCTCACACTCTTGCTCTTATTTCATGTCTACCTGTCATGTGGGAGAGCACCAGAAGTTCTCCAAATGACCTTCTCTCTCTACCACCCACCTCTCTACCACTCTGTCATCATGAGTGGTAGTTTCTATCTATTTCTCCTAGGGTTACAATGATATACATATCTCAGCTTCCAAGGACTCCTGCTTTGGTGCTATAGGATCAGCACTGGACTATGTCTTAAGAAGTGCCATAACCCTTTCCTTGCCTTCAATACCACAAAGTTGGCAGTTCAAACCCACCAGCTGCTCCCTGGACCCTGTACATGAGTCAGAGCCAACTCAACAACACTTAATAACAATAACAAGGATAAGATCAGCTATTCATAATAGTTTTTTGGATAGCTTTATTGGATTGATTAAAAACACCATCACCAGATCTGGTGAACAGAGATGGGGATAAGATTCTTATGATTCAATAGTGAATAATTGTTATCATGACTAATTGCTACTGTTACAACTGTAAAGGTAGAAATTTTGTAACAAAAACAGGGGAGTAGTTAATTTTACAATCCATGAACAGTGGACCTTAGGACCACCAAGGGATATGAGCAGGAGCAGAATGTGGGACCCTATCCAAAGAGATAGTGATACCAGAGATGGAGGCAGAGATGAGGACATGGAGAGAGAGAGAGCACCTGAGGACACTAGACTCATAGAAAGAGAAAGACTGAGTGCTGGCAGCCAGGAGGCAGGCTTACAGAATGTGCCTTTTGATTGTTTAAATGATTATATATTCCTGCGTGTTTTTGTGTACACCCCCTCCCCCCAAAAAAAACCAGAGGGAATATAAGCAAATACTGTTGAATGATGATGCACAGAGGAGACTGTAATCATTGCAATGAAACGATAAGTGTAAAACCGATGTTCTCCCATGTATCACTCAATTCACAATAAACACTTAAAAAATATATATGAAGGTTAAAAAAAAAAAAAAAAAGAACACCAACCCTCTACACATATGGCCAGGTCCACAGAGAACACTGTCAGCCCCATATAGCATTCTCCTTAGTGCTTACTTTGTCCCAATCCATTTTCTCCACATCCACCAGGATTCGCATGAGCTCAGGGATGGAGAGGGCTGGGTGGGTGTCATTCAGCTGGATGGCCACCTGAAATGAACGAAAGGGCAGGTCCTCAATTAGAAGCCTGCTGTTGACATCTGCTGGTGGGGACAGAGAGTTCAGCCTGGGAGCACCAAGATTAGAAGACATGGTCATACCCTTCTCTGAATGAGGAAACTGACAAGAAGCTAGTGGACAACACATAGGTTTTGTGGCAGAGCTTTGACAACAGTGCTAGGAACTGGGGATGACATAACGACCCTGAATAAGACTTCTTAGAAGTAGATGCTTTGAGGATCTCAAGGGTCTTATGGGAGGAGGGGAGTCAGGGCTGACAGCAGGCAAGTGTTCTAGGAGGCCCTGCTCTGGCTGCTCTCCAACAATAGGCTCTCATCCTTGACTGAATGTTCCTTTCCATTACCGTATGGAGTGTTTTAAAATAGCCTACACGGAATGATCTTTCACCAGCTCCCCTCCTTCATAGTCTGTGCTGCCTGGGCAGGGAGAAAGGCAGGAGGAATCCCTTGATGGTACTGGTAGACATTTAGAGGCATGGTACAGGGTAGGTCAGAGGCAGGAGAAGCCACGATGAGGGTGCTGCTAGTCTGTCCCACCCTCTGCCGTGTCTGTCTTGAGAGGGAACATACTGCAGAAACCCTGCCCTAATGGTCTCTTGCTCCATCATTGCACATGCAGTCAGTCACCTTGTCTGGGAATGTGTCAAAACAGGTCCTCACTGGGTCCCGGCAACCAAACTTGGAGGATTTGAAGCGGCGGATAATGTCCTGCAGGGTGGCAGCCACCACAAAGTATTCCTGCTTCAAGCGCAGCTCCTTGCCCTCAAAGAACTGGAAACACAGGTGCTCAGTTATGCCATACCCGCAGGCTTCTCACATGTTACCACCCCAGAATAGGAGACTCACCATCACAGGGAGAGCTGCAAGGTTGGCAGAGGCCCACCTCTAAGACTCTAAGACATGTACTAAGGGCCTTCAAAAAGTTCATGGAGAAATTCCATTATCTTTCAATTCCGTTTTTGCACAAACTGTCAGCCCAACTTGGTACCAAGGCTCCCTCACTTCACTGAGGTCCCCATCGGAGGTGGGGCCCATATCCTCCCCTCAGGAGACCTGGGGTCAGGTGGATGTGCTCAAGTTCTGGGTAGAAGAAAGCAAGTGGCCAGAACTCTAGTGCACCACCAGTCTCAGACATGGAGGTAGCCTGGGCAGCAGGCCAGGCCATGCTAACCATGTGCAGACACTGAGCATGGAAAATGCAGTCCATTACCAATTCGAAGTTTCAGATATGCCCAGTGCTAGTCACTCAGAAACTCTACGACTGAGAATCTGCTTAAACTCTCAGGGGAGGTAGAAAGGACTTGTGTGCTGTGTGAGGACCGGTGTGTTTTAGCACCAGTGCCCTTCGCCACTATATGCACATCCCTGTGATAGAGTCAAACAGCCAATTTTAAAACCACACAACCCACTAGGGCAGGCAAACTTTTTGAGCTCTTGTACTGCAGCAATAACCAAAAAAGCCACCAGACATTAAGTTTAACCTCAGCAGATTGTGGTTGCCATAGCCATCAAGTGCTGCACTTTCCAAACCACGACTGCTGTGTGTCTCAGAGCACCATGGCAAAACAGGCTCTGAATCTCTGCTGCACAAAGGCTGCCCAGCTAACGTTGGGATAAGCTGCATTATGTGGCTAACAATGGCTGCAACAGGCCTGGGCCAGCCCTCTGTGCCTGGCACCTCATCCCGGTTCCCCACACTCTGTCCCCTTTTCCTATCCCTGCACCCTATCCCATTCCTGCACTCCATGTCCCCACACCTTATCCCAACACCCCATTATCATGTTTCATTCTCACATTCAATTCTTGCACCTTGTCCCCACATCCCCTTTCTCTGCTCCATCCTATCATCTATCCCTGTACTCCATGTCCAAATTCCCCCCAGCCCATCCCTACAGCCTGTTTCTATACCTCCCTCTTCCTATCCTATCCCTACATCCCATCTCTATACCATGTCCCCCTTTCGTCACCCTGTCTTTGCTATCCCTCTCCATGCAGAAGCATATGATCAGCTTGAACCCTGCCTCTCATCACTAAGTCCCTAGGAGGTACTGTGTTGATGGAGGGTGTTATTTAGACATGTGAGAGGAGGCAAAAAATTCCTTTATAAGTTCTTCTCAGGAGAAAGGTGACAAAAGAGAGACCTTAACAGGCATTTTCCTTGATGAATTACCATTGTCCTTACTCCCTGACAGTGGGAATATGCTCACAAATGTCAACACAGGGCTGCTAATAACCACTGCAATGTCCAACCTCCCAACTTGAGTTCAGCAAACAGCTTCTGCTCAAGGGTCCTTCAGCCTCTGGTTCACTTCGTCATATGTGGAAAAGGTACAGTACAGGCGTGTTAACCACGCATGCTACTCACATTATCATTTGGGTAGAGGACTCTGGAGATGTTCTCAGCCAAGTTCCGATCCAAGACAGCCTCAATATAGTCACCCACATTGACTAGATAGAGACAAGGTACAGTAAGTGTGCACAGGCCCCTACAAATGACCTCCATGTGGCTTCAGAAATATGAGCCCCAAAACTTACCAATCATTTATGTGAAAGGTATCAGGGACACGCATTTCTGAATAAACATCCCACTCCCCCCTAGGAATTGTTGCTCTGCCTCACCTCACTGTCTGCTCCTAAGAGGGCACCAATCCCTCGCTCCGGTAGCTGTGGAAGGGCAGGCCTTCCATACCCGTCCTAATGCTCCCATGCTTTACAACCCCAATTTCCCCTCTTCCTTAGGGCAAATGGAAATGAGCAAGTCATATCCGGTCTCAGCCTCTGGCCTGGACCTCACTGGACTCACTGAGTACCAGTCTCATCAGCTCAGAGCCCACCTGGGCTAGGGTGCCCACCAGCATTCTCCAGGGGAGCCAAGTACATTCCATAATGAGCACATTGAGTGTTAAAGCTGGCCCACAGTGTCAATTTCTTAGGTTGGGGCAGACAGACGGGGACACACGTACAGTCGTGGAGTTTGAAGCTGTTGGGTGCCTTGGCAGACCATAGCCTCATGGTGTTGACAGTGTTGTTCCTGTAGCCTGGCACCGGCGTGTCGTACGGCATGGCTAGCACCACCTGCACAGGAGACATCCAGGTCCTCGCCACTTACCTTAAAAATCCTTCCCTGAGCAGGCATCAACACCGACCTTTGATGGAGATGTTCTCACCTCCCTATCAGGCTCAGCTTCTTGTCCTCTACTGGCTGGAAGCACACATGATCTGTCCCCAGCTAAAACCTGCACCAACCAGCGGACCTCCCGTCTACCACAACTGAGGGCACAAATCTAGATCTGTCCATTGCCAATAGTCAGTTAAGCCTTGCTCTTTTCTAGCTTTATCTTCTTCAGTATGTGCATTATGGACATACTACTTAAATATTCTTTTCTTTGTGTTTGGAGGAGGACTGCATTCACCTGGCTCTTCCTATCTCACTGACAACTGTTCTGGTCTCCTCATCCTCTATCATCCCAAATAAAAGGGGCCTCAAGTTGGTCTTAAGCTTTCTCTCTTCTTACTTGATGCTCAATTTAGCAATCCCAGGACTTGACTAACTTCTCCAGTTGAAGACTTCTCTTTCTGACTGTTTCCAAAGATTGATAGAAAGGTTCCTCCTATGGATGCCTTGACCCTATAACTCAGCACTCTTCAAACCAATTCCTCATACTTTTTTCCAGGAAAAAATGCAGGACCAATTCTCTATGCCTGAAGCTTATACTCCCTTTTCCATGACATTATGCTGATGTATCCAGAACATTAAGCACAGGAAATGTTGGGCAAAAACTCAAAACTTCTGGGCTTTCCTGGAGGCATACTTACACGAGGTATATTTATTGCAGTTTGTATAAATACTACTGTGGGCTTTGAAACCACGTTAGTATTGAAATCATAAAGGACTTTGCAGAGTTGTTGCCAGGACCAAAGTCCCAGAGTCACCTCTCCCTCCCTGCCCCATCTCAACTTTCCTTTGTTTCCTACACAAGTCCTCTGCAAAGCATCTCTAAGCCGATACCACAGCTCTCTCCCTCCTGCCCTGCAGAATTGAGGCCATCGTTCTGTCCTGCACCATCAGCTCTCCAACCCACCTTCCTCGTGCCCTCTCCAATATACACCAAAATACCACCTTCTTCTATAAGCATACACTCAAAAATGTTGGTTCCCATCTCTGCTTTTTCAAATGAAATACAACGTATCAAAGCAGCTTAGGCCTCTGCCTCATGGTTCCAGTCAGTTGTAGCCCTGTGCATCTGTGGTTAAAGCTCACATTCCATGAGAGCAAGGCTACCGCTTCAGCATGCCCACAACTTCCAGTCTTGCAGCCTCATTCTGGTTTACTCATTCTACCGGCATCACATGTTTAAGTCCTAATGACACTCAAGCTTCACGGTGCATCACAAATATCCCCTTTCATGGTGTCGCTTCCGCCCCTTACCCCTGAAACGACTTGCTCTCACTCTGCCTTGGGACTGAACAGTTCTCTCCCACCTCTACATCTCTGTTACTATCACTACCATTATCCTTCAGTCTGGTCCACCACAGGTCTCTGGTCTGGACAGAAGGGTGTCTGTGCCCAATTCTGGGCACCTAGCGGGAGCTCAGAGCTTTCAGTGTGCATGACTATTGGTGGATCTCTGAGTACACTAGAGGGCACATGAACCACACAGACAGAGCACGTTCAAGTGCTAGGGAGGTCTTGTGTCCACCCTTATTAACCCTGTGAGAATGCGACTTTGCTTGCTATTCAACTACATGGACACAGCAGAATGTTCAGTAGGCGGCACACAACATGCATGGCTGCCGGGTTCACCCAAACATATAATCCTGCTAAATGACAGACATGTGGCTTCTCCTGGATGTGCTGCCAGGCTTAGCATTTCTCATCTGGAAAGTCCCGTTGGAAGTGTAGGAAAGCAGGGGTATGAAGAGCGTAGACAGTTCTTAGGCTGCTACCTAGAGTTGAGTCCTCCAGAGAAGTAGCTCTCTACTTTCAAAAGGTAATCGGTGATGAAAGTGAAACATGGAGCATCCCTCCTTCAGCCTTCAACATTTCTACTCAAAGACTTTGGATTCAATACCTGTGTGTCCAGCCACTTGACTCCATCTGGGGTGTGCTCCACTCTACCGTAGAAGTGCACAGGAAGCATGTATTCAGGCCGTGCCTTCTCCCAGGGGTTGCCATAACGCAGCCAGTCATCAGCCTCCTCAACCTAGAAGGGGCCACCAATGGGCAAGGGGAGAGAAGGGCCTGAGTGAGGGAGCAGTCCCTGGCGCCAGCCCACATCATAGTGAGGGTGTCACACTGAAAACAGCATGGAAACAGAACTAAAACCCAATGCAGGCATGTAAAATGCAGGAAAAATGCACTAAAGCCCAAAGAAGAGAATCACCGGAATTTGGTAGTTAATAGGACTAAAGTACTGACAACATACGTTACAGAGTGGATGAACCTGGACAGAGTGATGTTTAGGGAAAGAAGTCAGTCACAGAGCTCCATGTGCTAACAGATTCCATTTATATGAAGCATCCAGAGCAGGCATGTCCACAGAGACAGAATGTAGACTAGTGGTTGCTGCAGGATTACAAATGAGTGCAGGGTTTCTTTTTGGATGATGAAAATGTTTTAGAATTAGATAGTGATGACTGCACAGCATTGTGACTATACTAAAAACCGCTAAATTGTACACTTTGCAGAGGTGAAGTGCATGGTATGTGAACTGCATCAAGGAAGCTGGAATAAAAAACAGTATCACTTGGAGCCCGCTCCATGGCACCAGTGAGGTGATGGGGTCTTGTAGGATTAGTGACAAAAGTGCAAAGCAAATTGGCCCTTAGGAAGAATAAGTCTTGATTTTATTAGAATCAAACTACAACTAAGAGCCCTTGTGTGGTGCTGTAGGATAAGCACTGAACTGCTAACTGAAAGGTCGGCAGTTCAAACACACTAACCACTCCTTGGAAACTCTATATAGGGTGGCTATGAGCCAAAACTGTCTCAAAAGCACTTAACAATAATAGCAACAACAGCAAATTAATGTGGTCAAGGCCACGTTGGTGAAAAGAACATAATTCCAAAATGACTCTTCCAACTTCATGACTGCCTGAGGGGCTTGGTCCCCTCCCCGGTGTTTCCTACCACCCATGACATAGAGACACTTCTCTTCTGTTAGGTATTCTTCTCAGCAGTTCACTCTCCAAAATGACTCAACGGCATCTAAGGCCTACAATAACTGTTCTCTTTACTAATTCCTTAAAGTCAGCCATCCCACAGATGGTAAACACACAGAGCACTGCCCTTCTTTCCACATTCAGGATCATAGGGACACCCGTATGCACTTGGGGACCCTCACTACCCAGTGGCATGGAACCATCTGGTGCTCCCTATTTCTACTCCCAACCAGCCTACCAGTCACCACATGGAAGTGATTTACAATGAGGTCACATAGAAACAAGTAACCACCAGTTTTATGCAATACCAACAAGTAAGTATCCCAAACTTGTGTAGTCCACGAGACTGGTATGATCTAGGTCTACTTCCACATTGCCTGTAATTGGTATAAATGCACAGAAGGAGTTTAAAGCATAGAAACCCTAACTAAAAGCATTCCTGTTTATTTTTTTTTATGGGAATGAGAGCTGGAAAACAATGAAGAAATCAAATCTCACCAACCTGCCAGCCATTGACAATCTTCTGGTTGAAAATCCCAAACTCGTAGCGGATTCCATAGCCATACGCTGCCAGTCCCAGGGTGGCCATCGAATCAAGGAAACAGGCTGGAAATCCAAATACAAAGAGCTTGTTGTGATCAAAGTCGATCAGAGGGATCTAGACCCAGATGCTAATAGGGGAGTTCTGGTTTGCAGGGTGACAGACAGTGATTCAGGAGTGACCACAGTCAACTTCAGGTTTCATGAAAAGGAAAAATGAACGCACTCACCTTGTATATCAAATATGGTTGTCCAAGGGAGCACCATCCCCAGTAGTAACGGCTGTTATTTTAGGGCAATTTGTTTTCCATAGTAAAGCTGTAACTTGAGAGGTATTCACAAAGTGTGTATGTTTGTAATGTAGTGTGGTACGTGTGTAAGTAGGGTAGATGCGGTATGGTGTGTGTGTGGCATATACAGGATGTGTGTAGTGTGTGTGTATGGTGCAGTAAGTGTGTGTTGTGTGTCATATGTGTGTAGTGTATGTGGTATGATTGTGATACAGATTATGCGGTTGTATGTGTATGTATATGTGAGTAGATGGTGTGTGAGTAGCGTGAAGTATATGATGTGTGTGTGAGGGGGTTGTGGCACGGTGTGTGCATAGTATAGATTAAGTAGTGGGTGGATGTGTGTGCATAGAATGCGTGTATGTGTATTGTGGATGGGCATTTCTATACATGTGTTTTTTCCTCAGTTACAGTGAAACCTGTAAGTGCTGGAATTCTATAGGACTGCCTTGTTGCCTGGGACTTGCATGTTTTCCACCTTTGACAGAGTGTGGTTTTACAACTTTTTTATTGTTTATTATAGTGGGAAATATTTGAGTTTACTTTCTCTGACAGATTCCTGTCTTACACAAATTCTGACTTTTGCAGGTTTTACTGTACTGGTTTTTAGAACCTTAGAAGTAGGTGATATATTCAGAACCCTTCTCAGTTTGATAAGCTGTCTCAATGATAAATATGAATTGCTTCTCATATGAGAAAGAACATATATTTTGTTCTTACGTTTTCACTGGTTGCAAAGATTTAAATCTGAGAAACACACTCTCCCACTTACTCTGCAGAGAGCAAATTTACCCCAGATATCAGCATCCAGAGAATGCCTGCCCTTGCCATTTCAGGACCAACCTTACCCTGAACAAGTGCCTGTGCTTACCTGCCAGCCTCCCCAGGCCTCCATTACCAAGGCCAGCATCCTCTTCAATTTCTTCTAGTTCCTCCAAGTCTAGTCCTAGCTGCAAATACAGAGAAAGTAATATTTTATAGGTTGAAGGACATTTAAATGTTGTAAAGTTATATCAAAGACCTGTAACCTGTACCATTGAATCATATCCTAGTCACAGCAACACTTCATAGGACAGTACAGAACTGTCCCAAAGAGTCCCTACCTGTAATCTTTATAGAAGCAGACTGCTACATCTTTCTCCCATGGAAAGGCTGTAGGTTCAAACTACCAATCTTTTAGTTAGCAGCCAAGCTCTCTTAACTACTGCTCCACCAAAGCTCCTTAGCTCAAAAGTCAGAATCTATTTTCTCTCAGACTAAAAATCCAGTGTCAAAAACCAATGTTAATGTAAGGAAATGAACAGAAAGTTTCCAGATTATTTTAAAAAATGCAAAACCACTTAAGAATAAACAGTCAAAATGAAACTAGCCAACAATATTTACTGCCAGGCTACTAGCCCATTTATAGTGGGCACGCAAACATATAGCCTAAAAAATCAAACTAATGATCACTGTAAGTTTTCTAACTTCATATTAATGAAATGTATGTTAACGTGACGCCTAAAAGCAGTTTTGCCTGAGGTATCTCAATTGTAAAAAAAAAAACTTTGTAAAACAGGATGGTGGCCGTGACCTCCCACAAGACGGTGGTCTAGGCAGACACACTACACAGACCCTTTACAACAAAGACATGAGAGACCAAATGAAACAGAGATGAAAATCCTGGAACTCTGAATGAACTTCATAGGAAAGGTTAGAGAAGTGCTTGCTGGAAGGAGAAGCTGAACAGCGACAGTTAGAAAGGAAGACTGGTGAAAGTCTGGTCAGAGGCAGCGAGACTATCTTGAACTTTTATGAGCAGCTTTGGAATTAGAAAGTGGCCTGGCAGAACATATTCTCTCAATACTAGTATGCTAGAAGAACAATAAGAAAAAAAGAATGAAAAACCCTGAACTCTGGGCATAACAACCTCAGATAAGCACATCAATGTTTACCACAGCACAATAGCAAAAAGATTGAGACAGCCTAAATGCCCATCAATGCAAGAATAGTTAAACAACTTTGGTACCTACAAACAATGGAAAACTATGCTATCCTGGAAATAATGATGAACCTGCAAAACATCTCAAAACATGGATGAACCTTGAGGACACTATGCTGAATGAAATTAGTGAGTCATAAAAGGATACATATTGTATGAGACCATTATTGTAAAAGCTTAAGAAAAGATATCCATACTAGAAGAAAAAAAAATTTTTATGGTTGCCAGGGGTGAGAGGGAGGGGACAGTAAGGCACAGGTTAGGAGATAAGACACATGATAGCTCGAGTAATGGACACAAGAAGGGAGAGAGGGGTGGATGGACAAGGAGGATAGGGGAAGACTTAGGGAGGTTTGCATGGGCTAAATGGGATAGTGGTAAATGGTGATGTATACTCAACCTTGGGACAACAGGGCTCTGTGATGTGTATGGCTGAAGACATAGTCTAAATGGGTAAAGGAGGGTAAATAATGTTAAGTTATGGGGTTGTCTTGTTTATATTGGTTTCCCTTGTCTATTATAGTAAGATAGACATTTAAGTGAGGTAGGAAGGAATACTGGGAAATACAATTACAGAAAGCTTGTAAACCTCTCTTTAGCCTATAACAGATTGGATTAGCTAAAAGGGTTTTATTTGCCCATTGAAATAGGCTTTTTGTTAAGCCTTTGTAGAGAATGGGGCCTTAGGTGGAATCCTGAGCCCCACCCAGAAACTTCTGAGGTAGAACATTACCACTTGAAAGGACATGCAGACCAACCCAGAGCAGCTAAAAGAACAGAAGATACTTCTTCAAAGGAAGACCAGCAAGGGGAGGAGGGGGGAGGGAAGCAGACTGTTGTTACAAAAATCAAGCAAGCTATTCACCTAGGATTAAGACATGAAAAGTCAGCCCATCAGGACAAATCCCTCGCTAAGACTGAAACTCAAAGGGAATACACAAGCAGGCATATCAGCTCACGAGTGACCACATTGGTCTACTTGTGAGTGGAAGTGGGGGAAATGCACCAATGAAGACATGGGCTGAGTTCGACCATTTTCCATAGACACCCAATGACCTTGAGATGAGAGAGAGAGAGAGAGAGAGAGAAGAGGAAGGGCTGCTGGTCTGAACTTTAGGGAGACTTGGTGTTGCCTGTCACTGTAGTCAATCACAGCAATGGGGAGAGATCCAATCCAAGCTTTATTAACAGAAAGCCAGCAGTCTGGAAGACGGTGAGAATAGCTTCTCAAGACCATCCCATCCATTATGAAGAGGAGGCACATTATATAAGGTAAGATACATTTGGATGTACACTTAATCTATTTTAACACCAAGATAACATGTTTTGGAAAAAGAAACAATAAAGCAATAAACTTCTTCAAACATTCTACCTTTAAGGAAAAGGAAACAATCAGGCAATGATCCTTCTTAAACATTTTATCTTTTGGGAAAGGGGAACAAACAGGCAAGAATCCTTTTTAACATTTTAGTTTTTCCGATCCTTAACTAACTTCAAGACGTAATGATTAAACCGACTTCATTTTGTTTGGGTCAGTAGGCCTATGCTATCATTGGGAACTCCTAATCCCATAGACACTGACCTAGCCAATGGAGGCAAGAGCTGAAAGGGAAGAGACCAGCTAGTCTGAAGTGGGGGGAGGCATGCAGGAACTCTCAAACTTGCAGAAAGTACCCATCTGACCTTACTTGGATGGCTTGCTGACCAGAACTCGACTACAGAAAGATAAAGAACTTTGATACAAGAAGCAAGCATAAATTGCTACAATTTTGATGAATTGGACCCTTGCTTGCAGTTGCTCAAAATTCCAACAGAAATATAAGGATTCTTCATATCAAGGATCAAGACTGTCTCCTCAGTATACAGGGTTGATATGTACAGGCATCTTAGACACTAGCTACTAAAATTGAGGGCCTATAAAGGCATGAAGTGGCTAGCTTACAAACTTTTGAAATTGTGCTTAATTTCAGAACGAGGCAGGTAAGGTAGAATTCCCATTCAATAGTTTGCCTCTTGTCCAGATGGATCTGGTGGAGGATACTTTTGATTCAGTAATGAGTAATTGTTACCATAACTAATTATGACTGTCACAACTGTAAAGGTAGAAGATGTGAAACAAAATGGGGGTAGTCAATCTTTCATTCCAAGAACAGAGGACCTTAGCACCACCAAGAAGGAAGAACATGATCAGAGCATGGATCCTAACCAGAAAAGCAGCAACAGCAGAGACAGAAGAAAAGGCAATGGCTTAAATAGCTAGAGCAGCTGAAGACTCTAGACCCATGGGATCAAAGGGCTATGCCCTTTGCTCATTTAAACTAATATATATTTTCTGTGTGTGTTGCGTACATAAAAAAAGGGGAGGGGGAATAGAGGTGAATACTGTTAACCAATGGTGTGTGGAGGGGATTGTAACCATTGCAATGAAGCAAAAATATGATTGGTTGATGTAAAACTGCTGATCTGCCCTGTAAACTATCACTCAATTCACAATAAAAGTTTAAAAAATATATTCCATAGAAAAATCATGATCAAAAGGGGGGAAATGCAGACTAGAACTTCAAGTTCTCGTGGGCTTTCTACAGTCATGGAGGCTGGAACTATTACCCTGAGATAATCTTTGAACCTTAAATCAGAATTATCCCTGAAGTCTTATTAAAACCAAACAACAGTTTAGCTTAACTAGCTTAAAAAAAAAGTCTCCCTTAAGCCTAATACCAATACTAATACTCCTTTAAGAACTACGATCAAAATGACAACAGCAGCTTGATAGACTAGATAGGAATCTTAGGGGGTAGCGAGTTTGTTAACTGTTGTTGTTAGGTGCCATCAAGATCCATGATGCTGACTCACGGCGACCTTATGCACAACAGAATGAAACACTGCCTGATACTGGGCCAACCTCACTACTGTTGCCACGCTTGAGTCCATCGATGCTGCCACTTGGCCAATGCATCTTGCTGGGGAGCTTCTTCTCTTTCTCTGACCCTCTACCTTACCAAACATGATATCCTTCTCCAGCGACTGCTCCCTCCTGACAATATGTCTGAAGTATGAGAGACGAAGTTTGGCCATCTTGGCCTCCAAGGAGCACTCTGGCTGCACTTCTTCCAATACAGATCTATTG